CAATATCTAACATTTCTCCTACATGAGAGGGGATACGTGTCTCGCCGAGCTCCTGTTTCTTTGGGTGCCTGTCGTACTTGGCTCTCTCGCAAGTCCTGCAATTCGCTACGATTTCGGTAGCTAATTTGGCCATTTTTGGAAAGTAGTACTCGGAGAGTACCTGCTGGGATGACCTGTGGGCCCTGTTGCGTTCGACGGTGAGGATTTCCCGTCTTTCGCTGACTGCAAAAATGTCTGTTACACGAAAATTTTGTGGCCGGAAACTGCCGAACCAGTTCGTCCTGTACCATTGCCAACGTGTGCAAGTCGCAATAGATAGCGTTTAGGAACGATTACATCTGCGAGCTCATCAAGTAAACTCTCTATGCAGGAAAAATTAATCGCATGCCGTCTCTTGTTACCAAAAAGGACGAAGCTGCGTTTTGACGGGAAGCGTGCCTCCTCCAAGATTATTTGGTTTTGGAAGCAATTTAATGGCTTTTCCGTCGTCTCGATTGTGTGGTTCAGGGAGAGTTCGCTGTGTATAGTGGCCGCGCACGATTCAGCTTCTTGCTCCTCCATGACATTAAGTTGTTGTCGCGAGAGTGCGTCGGCAACTAGATTTTCCTTACCGGGTTTGTAAAATATTCGCGCTCCGGATTCGTCAATGCGCGCTTTCCATCTTTTAATCTTTGCATTCGGATTGGATTCCGATACTGCAAAGGTTAATGGCTGATGGTCGGTGAAGATGTTTATATCTTTGACCGCGTATAAATAGTGCCTTAGTTTGGCCAGTGCCCAAATTATGGCTAATAGCTCCCTTTCGTTGGTAGCATAGTTAACCTCTCTGTCCTTCAATGTCCTTGAGATCATTGTAATCGGACGTCCCTCTTGGGACAGCACTGCACCAATGCCATAGGCCGAGGCATCTGTCGTTAGATCGAATGCCTTTTTATAATCGGGGTATCTCAGCATGAAATCGTCAGACGCCAAGATATTTCGAAGCTTCTGAAACGATTGTTTTTGCGCTTCAGAGAACTGTACCGGAATGTTTCGTGACCTGTGTCTACTAACTGTTCCGTTTTCCCCTTTTAAGATTTCCGAGATAGGTCTTGCTATTGCCGCAAAATCCCTAAATCGGTAGTAGCTAGCCAGGCCCAGAAATAACCGTACCTCGAATACATTCTTGGACTCCGGAAATTCCTTGATGGCCTTTACTTTCTCTGGGTCAGTGGTAGCACCATTACAATGGACTATAAACCCAAGAAAACTGACACTTTTCTTAAAAAAGCTCGACTTTTCTACCGACACTCTCATGTTTGACTCGTACAGGCTCTTTAGAACCCAATCTACGTGTTTAACGTGAGAGTTTTCGTCCTCCGAGAATATTATTACGTCGTCAACGTAAGCATAGCAAAATTTACCTATTTGCTCTCGTAGGATGTCATCTAAGGTCCTCTGAAAAATGCTGGCTGCATTTTTGAGACCAAACGGACCTTTTAAACTCATATTTACCCCCATTTACTGAGAACGAGGTTTTTTCTCTGTCTCGTTCCGCGAGCGTAATCTGGTGATAGCCAGACTTAAGGTCCAGCGTTGAGAAATACCTCGCTTTGCCGAGATTTCCCAATATCATTGAAATATTTGGCATGGGGTACTTATCGGACACGGTCCTTTCATTTAATTTGCGAAAGTCGATGACTAGCCGCATTTTCTTATTTCCGGTTTCGTCGGTCCCTTTTTTGTCTATCACCCATATTGGGTTGTTGTAGGGGGATGCCGACTTTTGAATTATTCCATTTCTTAGCAGATCCTGAATTTCGTTGTTGACAAAATCCGCTGCTCCCATGGGGTACGGGTACAATTTTGCGTATATGGGCTCCTCGTTAACTGTTCTGATGGTAGCTACCACCGAAGTGTTGTAAGGTAAAGCCTCGTTAGGGTCTGCAAAGGCCTTTCTCCGGGTCCTTAGCATCTCTAAAAACGCATTCTTTGCCAAAGGCGGTGCATCTGAACAATCCACGCTGGTGAAATTGACGTCAGTGCACTTGTGGAAATCGATCTGCTCTACCTCGGTGCCCCATTTTAGGTGACCGGAGGATAGGCAGAGTGATGCCCCCGCCTGTTTTAACAGGTCAAGGCCGATTATTCCGTCGAAGGAAGACAAGTCGGGTAGTATAAAGAACGTAGCCTTTAAATTAAACATTGATACGAAGCATTTCTTCATAACTTTGGTAGTGCCATGGATTGAATGTATTGGGAATGGGGATTCTACGGGGCGAACGCCTTTCAACCCTTTGTGAGGTCGGATGAAATTTTTTGACGCGCCCGTGTCGATAAGAAACCTCATATCGGTCCCCGCTACTCTTCGTCTGATGACGGGCAGCAGGGATCTTCCCCTAAAAAATTAATGACATCAGAAGCTGTGCTGGCGTTTATTTCCTACACCCTGGGTGACGTGATTTAACCTTTGCTGTTGCTTTGCTTTGGTTCGGTCGGACGTGGCAGGTCTCCGCTTTTGGTAGGCTTGCGTTTGAACGGGTGGAATTATTTTTGAAAGTGAAGGATCAATGTCCATAGGTTCTGAACTGTAACTTCTGTTTTGGAAGTTATTATTGCGCTGATCGGAATGGATTTGCGCCTTAGTCTGTCTAGAAAAGTGCGGGTTTTTGCCGCCATCTATTTGAGAGTCCGCCGGCTGATGGTTTTTTACCTGTTGCCGATTTTGTGTTTTTTCGCTTATTTTGCGATCTTCTTGGCTTTTTGCAAAGGTTGCCGCGAAGTTGTACCTTTCATGGTTGGACTCAACCTCCTGTGCTAGGGCCAGGGCCGTCGGCAAATCTTTAGGTTTTGCCGCAAAGAGCACGTCTGTGAGATTTCGCCTAAGTCCTGATATGAATACTCTCAGAGCTTTTGCCATACCCGAATCATGTGACATAATGCACCTTATTTGTTAACAAAGTGAGTTTTTTCTCTACTTCGTCATAATAGTTTAGCAGAGTTAGGCCCCCTTGCCTTAAAGTTCCTAACTCCTGTTCGATGACGTGCATCGGTCGTTAGTCACTGTACGTGAAATCAAGGCGACTTATTATCGCGTCAAAATTCAGAACTGTGCCAAACGAGGACAACACCGCATCGGCAGGGCCCCTGACCTTGCTTCTGATAATGATAACTGCCTGGTAGTGGCGTGAGCTACCATTATATCGTCTAAAAATATGATAAGCGGCGACGGCCGCTTGTCTCCATGAAACGTATGAATCTTGTGCCCCTGAAAATTCTGGCAGGCACTTGACGGCATCCAATGGCTCGTCACATCGAACATTGTCATTAATCTCTATAGCTTCATATGTTGTAATATGTTTGGGCTGGCTTCGGTTGTACCCTAACTTCAGCCACTTGAGCAGCGAGCAGCTCGATCATCTGCCGCAGCTCCAGCTCTCTTTGGTGATTTTGCGAGGCCTGCTCTGCCAGCGCTCTGCCGACGGCAGCGTCAATCAAGCCCCTAAGCTGGTCGGGATCCATTTGTACTGGGGGTAGAGGGGCTTGCGTTTTACTGTAAGGCTGTGACTGTGACCGCTCTCTTCGCTCTCGGATTCGGAGTCGCTAGAAAAAACTTTTTTGTTCCTATACTGACGGAAGGCGTCGTTCATGAGAGCGACTGAGAGCACTCTTACAACTAAACGTTTGCATAAGCAGTTCCCAAAAGAAAAGAATGCAGCAAAAACAAAGACAAAGTCAGGCGGCCGTTTCGTATTACTGCGTGGCCCGAACAGAAAGACACAGAAAAAAAAAACAACCACAATAAATCAAATTTAAAGTTAAAAGGCTGATTTCCACTAATTGTGTTTGATTTTCTATTTGTTGGTTAGTACGTTATACTTGCAGTGTATTTTTTATTTATTACTTTTTATTTTTTAAACACGGCGATTAATATTTTTCGTATTTGTCGCATAAAATATTTGCAGATAAAAACTTGGGACACGTAAAAGACTGGGAATTTTTGCAGACTAAAAGTTAAATAGCCGGAGGAGTCCACTTACATTTTTTGTGAAATGGTTTTCCTATCCTAGTTTCCCTCTTAGGTCCGAATTTATGCGGGTGGGTTTTCCGCGAGCTGGGCGCCAATTAGTATTTTACTCCGTAGAGGTTCCCTCGCAGCCGTCTCCGTGAAGGTAGCCGGTTGGCTGTTGTCATCCGTCGATAAATTAGGAAGAATAGGGTGGAAGGGTGACTGCCCTTCTTTACCTGCTGGCCTAGAGACTCAGTCAGTGTGAAATAATAAGATCTTTAACGGCGGTTGCTGGAGTTAAATATTATTAGAGCTGGTGCTCTTTATTCAAGGCTTTGATATAAACTGAATTGAAAAGAAACTTAAAGCTAACAAAAGACTCACAGCGGCCACGCAAATATGCAGTGCTTGCCGTCTGTGCACGAGCATCCGGGCTAAATGCTGGATCAGCAGTTTCGGCCGAAGCCAAATAACAACAAAAGTCAGCGGCTGGTCCATTGACTTTTGCTGGTTTATGTTGACTTGTTAACTTGTACATATCTTAAACATAAAATAAGCGCATAGGCTTACCTTAAGGTGTTTGTGCAGATTTATCATCGAATTTGATTGTTTTATTGAGACACAACACGCACTTGCAGTCCGGCTTAAAAAATGTGCCATTTAATATTACTGGCAACACTTTATAAATTTATATTTTCTTTTTCGGCCATGTCTGTCGCGCGGAGTCAAATTATTTTGTGCATATTGCAATGCAAAGGTTACTTCCCAAAACAGACATGAGAATGGCTTAGTTTAGTGGTACCTTTCACCTTACCTAGGTATAAAAATAATTGGGTATTTTTTACCTAACCAGATTTTTATACACCTTCAGAATTATTAATGTACTTACATAGGTATTGAACAATGCTCTGATTTAAAATAGCCAAATCTGACTGCGACACAGAATTAGCTAAGTCCACCACATCTACACGTCATGGTACACGTACGTTTCGTTTCGAAATTGTAATAGTCGGAACGCAGAATTAAAAGTCAGTGGAACTAAGCCATTTGTGAAGTAACCTTTGCATTGCAATATGCACAAAACAATTTGACTCCGCGCGACAGACATGGCCGAAAAAGAATATATAAATGTATAAAGTAATATTAAATGGCACATTTTTTAAGCCGGACAATCAAATTCGATGATAAATCTGCACAAACACCTTTAGGTGAGCTTATGCGCTGTTTTTATGTGTAAGACATGTACATATTTGAGAAAGAAAATATGACTAAGGGTAAAATCGCAGTTTTATTGTATATTATATTGTGCACTAATGTATGTACGTATCACCACATCAATTTATTTATGAAACCCAAGTGCATTTGGCGCTCAACAAGGCCGTATGTACGTTAACATGCATGTATAGTCAAAAGTTTCTACATATGTACGGAATTTTTGCGCGCGAAATACACATTTCCTCATGTTCATCTTAAGAAAAAAGTGTATTTGGCGCGCAAAAATGCCGTATGAATACAGCATATACAAATGAACAATATATAGTCAAAAGTTTCTACATACTGAATTTTTGCGCGCCGAAATATGTACAAGGGGGTTCCATAAATACATTAATACACGTAAAACTCTGCATACATTTATGCATGCCGTGCAATTAAGCCCATATTTTTAAATAATTTGACTTAATTTAAAAAATCTTCAACAAACTTAGGGGGTTCATCCAAGCAGTTACACGGAGTAAGAGGCCATGAAAGCTAAGAAAACTAAAACTAATATGGAACTTTCTAAGGAAAATTCAAAATCGTTTTTCGGTTCCCTGAGTTCAGCCCAGGTATTTACATTAATGACAAAATTTAATAACTCAATATATAATATAATAATGTGTGTTTATTTAAATATTTGCAGATCAATCAGAAAGTGTGCCACTACATCGTGGGGGAGATTTTACCAAAATCTCACGTTGAGCATTACACAAATTTAACAGCTTAACATAAATATAAACGCATTTTGGATGTATTCCTAAAATGCAATAAAGTTCTGCCCAGCTCTGCGCCAGTTGAAATATTTTTTAGTTGTGAACCCCAATACGAAACAAGCTGGGGGACGAGTTTTTCGAAAAATTAGTTATGTTAAAAAATGAAAACATTTAAATTTTGATTGTTATATGAAAATGAAAAGATAATGTTATTTTTAAGAGGACTAAAACCTGAAACCTAGTCTTATTTTAAGTTGAATTGATTCGCCAATGTAATAAATCAAACAAACAAATAAATAAAACAAAAAAATCATAAAAATTAAAAAAAAACAATATTTGTATCATTTACATTTACCTAGGTACTGGGAAAATGAAGTACCTTTACCGTACCTAGGTATTTATTTTTGCCAAAGAGCTTTTACCTTAAGCCTAGTATCCTGATCGACGAAAACCGTACGCCAGTCATGAGAGAGAGTGAGAGGCAAACAGCTGGCGTTCACTTTTCGTCGGGCCTTTTTTTCACGTCGGTCTCCTGATCGACGAAAAAAATACCAGAAAATTCCATAGCGTTGCCAGTCTGCGGAAACGTGAACCCTAGCGAAAAGATTAAAAAATTTAATCTTTTGGCGTGCGCTTCTCACTGAACATTATAAGAAATGGAGGGAAAAACTCAAAAAACTCACAAAAGTCGATTGCAGGTGTTTACATGTGAGGACAAAATAACATTAATTCTATCTGGGGTGCCTCTTGTCAGAGCAAAATGTTTTTTAGGTCCAGAATGTTCGAAAAAACACAATAAAAGTGCAGCTATGAACTTTAAATTAGCAAATAAATATCAGTAAATTAAAAAAAACAACTGTTAAATTTAAATTGTATTGTTTTTTAATTTCTTTGTACAGCGGCAGACTTGTTTTGCCAAGGTAGTTGATAATATCTTTTAAAGGCTCTTTCCCGCAAATACGATATTTGAATTTTAACTGCTTGTCAACAAATCCAGCTGATTGACAGTACGACCGCAGCACGCTTAAATCTGATAACCTCTCAAACTTTTGGTCACACTGGAAAGATTAAAGTTTTTACGCTAGCGTAATCGTTTGTCGATCTGGATACTAGGCTTTACCTAGGTAAAAAAACAGTACCTTTCCCAACACTGGTTATACGTAGCCTGTTCGCGAGTGGGAAAGCCGTCATCATTATTTATTTTTGCACCGGATAACAAAAAAAAAATATTGAATATCACATCGCTCTCCACTGATTTCGAGTCATACAAATTTTTTTTGAAATTTGAATTACCAGTGTTTTATTATGACTCCGGGGATATATGAAGTCGTGAAATTGGGGCGAGACAAAGTTCGCCGGGTGCTCTAGTATACATATATTTTTTTTAGGGAAGTATGGTTGTTTCATTGTTTGATTCTAATAAGTTTAATTTTTCCTAATAATGTAATTCTTCAGTTTCCCGTTATATTTTATTATACATTGCTTATGTCAATAACTGCTCCTATCTTTCTTAGTAAAGAAAGTATTAAGAAATACTCTGGAGCCTGACGAAAAGCCTCTACCATCGTTGGACGGATGGTCCATAAGGTTTTGCCGTTCCGAAAATTCCCAGTTAGTTCCCCATCCAAATTTGACGGACATTTTATGCGATAGTTAGGCGATGTTTTTTCTTATTCTGGATAGTGAAAATTAAAACATTCAATACGAAAACGAAAACAATAATGATAGGGAACATTTGAAAATGGAAGGTGCCAAATCAATAAATGCAAGTTTATCTTGTTATAATTCATGAATTATTACTTCGTCCGTGTGGCAGCTTTAAGAGTATGTCCCCAAACTTATATTTGTGGTTAACAATTAGCTAATAAAATATATTTATTGCACAGACTAGGGAATACTTATTGAAGGTCTTAGATGAGGACCCGAAGCACATACACCATCCGATAACAGCTGATTTGAACAGCTGTGGGTCATCATTCTAGCCTGTTGCATTTTACACAAGTTTTAAAATAAGAACAACAGTGATATAAATGATTGGTAACAGACTGCAAGAGATCTACGCGAACAACCAAACCGAACTTATATGTCTTCAGATTTTTGCCAGTCTGCAGAAAAAATTTGAAGCGCTATTGCCCAATATTGTCTAAATGGTAACAAATCAAGTTCATTGTATATAAATGTTTGTTTTTTGTTTTATTACAATTTCATATTTTATTTTGTTTTTAATGTTAAGGATGGCAGACAGCCAAGTTTTATTCAATGAGATGATCTCGCTCTGCGCTCGCTGCTCCTTCAGCCTTTCTCGAGCGCTATCTCCACAAGCTCGGCCTTGTTGCCCACCTTTTCGCGCTTTGCGGGGGTCGCAGAGCTGCTTGAGCGTTGACTTCCGCCGCAGAGGCTTCCATGTCATTGGGGTCCACATCTAATACCTTCAAAACGTATTGCCTAGTTCCTGCAATCAATATATTTTATTATTTAATTGTAATCCACAAATAAAAATCTGGGACATACTCTCGTTCTCCAAGGTGTTCTGCTCCATGTTGTGAGACGAGATGCGCCTATGAAAGAGTGGAGCAACTCTTAATGCTGCCACATGGATGGAGCATTAATTAATTAATTATTACAAGTATAAACAGAATATATAGATTTGGCGCCTTCCTTTTTCAAAATTTACCCGCAACTATTTTTTAAATTTTCGTAGTGATTTTCACTGTTAAAAAGAAGAACTGAGTTGGACCGAAAAAACATCGCCTAACTATCGCATAAAAAAGTCCATCAAATTTGGATGGGGAACTAACTAGAAATTTTCGGAACGGCAAAACCTTATGGACCATCCGTTCAACGAAATTAAGTTAAGGCCGCCAGTTTTCAAAAATAATAATAAACGTTTAAATTATACATCTTATCATTGCCGAGAATACAAGCCGTACAGAGTTGCCAGGTAAGGATACATATACGAATGTAAATGCATTAGTATTGAGTTCTTTAAAAAAACTCCTTTGCCGTGAAATTTGATTCCACGTCAAATAAGACTCCACCTCCCCGTCTGGAGGGACAGTCAAACTTATACATATGTATATTGTCTATTTACCTAGAATAACTTGTAGTTTTTATTGTGTTCTGTCTTGGACATCACCAACAGTATAGATTATTTTCGAAAACTGGCGGCCTTAACTTTATAAAATATACGGACCTTCTTCCACCCTATTCTTCCTAATTTAACGACGGATGACAACAGCCAACCGGCTACCTTCACGGAGACGGCTGCGAGGGAACCTCTACGGAGTAAAATACTAATTTACATATTTGAGAATGAAAATATGACTAAGGGTAAAATCGCAGTTTTATTGTATATTATATTGTGCACTAATGTATGTACGTATCACCACATCAATTTATTTATGAAACCCAAGTGCATTTGGCGCTCAACAAGGCCGTATGTACGTTAACATGCATGTATAGTCAAAAGTTTCTACATATGTACGGAATTTTTGCGCGCCAAATACACATTTCCTCATGTTCATCTTAAGAAAAAAGTGTATTTGGCGCGCAAAAATGCCGTATGAATACAGCATATACAAATGAACAATATATAGTCAAAAGTTTCTACATACTGAATTTTTGCGCGCCGAAATATGTACAAGGGGGTTCCATAAATACATTAATGCACGTAAAACTCTGCATACATTTATGCATGCCGTGTGTTTTAAAAATGTATACACACAATTAAGCCCATATTTTTAAATAATTTGACTTAATTTAAAAAATCTTCAACAAACTTAGGGGGTTCATCCAAGCAGTTACACGGAGTAAGAGGCCATGAAAGCTAAGAAAACTAAATCTAATATGGAACTTTCTAAGGAAAATTCAAAATCGTTTTTCGGTTCCCAGGTAATAATGTGTGTTTATTTAAATATTTGCATATCAATCAGAAAGTGTGCAACTACATCGTGGGGGAAATTTTACCAAAATCTCACGTTGAGCATTACACAAATTTAACAGCGTAACATAAGTATAAACGCATTTTGGATGTATTCCTAAAATGCAATAAAGTTCTGCCCAGCTCTGCGCCAGTTGAAATATTTTATGTTGTGGAGGTCAAATTGTAACCCCAATACGAAACAAGCTGGGGGACGAGTTTTTCGAAGAGGAAAAACCTGAAACCTAGTCTTATTTTAATTTGAATTGATTCGCCAATGTAATAAAACAAACAAACAAATAAATAAAACAAAAAAAATTAATAACAAGAAAGGAAAGCTAACTTCGGGCGGAGCCGAAGTTGAAATACCCTTGCAGAATATTCTGCAAATTATATTCTCCAAAATTATTCATATGATGCATTCTTAATACTCATAAAAAATCCCAACTTCCTAACTTTAAAAACACAAAAGTTATGGCATTTCCGATCAATCAGTTATATAGCAGCTATAGGATATAGTCGGCCGATCCTTATGAAATTTGGTACGTCGGATTGATTGGCCAAATATAAAACCCATAGAAAGTCCCAACTTCCTAACTTAACAAACAGCAGAGTTATGGCATTTCCGATCAATCAGTTATATGGCAGCTATAGGATATAGTCGGCCGATCCCGGCCGTTCCGACTTATATACTGCGTGCAAAGGAAAGAAGGGTGTGTGCAAAGTTTCAATTCGATATCTTTAAAACTGAGAGACTAGTTCGCGTAGAAACAGACAGACGGACAGACGGACATGGCTATATCAACTCAGGAGGTGATCCTGATCAAGAATATATATACTTTATAGGGTCGGAGATGTCTCCTTCACTGCGTGGCACACTTTTGACCAAAATTATAATACCCTCTGCAAGGGTATAAAAACAATATTTTTATCGTTTACCTTTACCTAGGTACTGGGAAAATGAAGTATCTTCACCTTATCTAGGTATTTATTTTTGCCAAAAAGCTTTTACCTTACCTAAGTAAAAACAAGAGAGAACGCTATAGTCGAGTGCCTCGACTATTAGATACCCGTTACTCACCTAAAAAAGTTCAAATTATCAATTTGAATTCGGAGATCTCTTTTTGCTGGCAGCTTTACAGCATGAGCATTAGCACCAGCGATGCTTTAGTGCAGGCAGCTTTTGTCCTGCACCAGCAGCTGTGTTTATGTTTATGTTTTTGAGTGCAATAAATTGACTAGAAATATTAAACATACATACTTATATTGGCTAAACACATACATTCTTAAATAGTATTAGTATTAATTGTTTGCACAACACGAGTAACGGGTATAACGAATAGCTTTCTTTGAAAGGAGTTATCTTTGCCGGGCAATTGCAACTGTGTACAATGTAAATACATACATATGCTTACATACATACACACATACGACATTGTTTGACTCAGACCTCCACTTTGGTTAACTTGATTTGATTTGCATAGTTCTTGGGATATAGTTCGGTATTGACAAATGAAAAAAAACAAATGACAATTTCCTTTAATAGAAATCCTTATCGAGAATTTTTTTTTTTTTTTAACATTTGCATTTTATTTATTGGATCTTCTCTGAATTGAGACTAACAATAAGTATATAGAATCTTAAATTAAAAAGCTATCTGACAGTCAAGGTGACTGGCGCGAAAATTTAGGGGCTCTAATAACTATTGCTGAGCTGGAAGGTCATTGCGTTGCAATCGGGTCCGGATGGAAGCCCTGGCTAGGCCCCTGGCGAGCTGGTTTGGATGAGATGTTAGTTTGGTGTGGTAGGACGCTTTTTGTTTTGATATTTCATCTTTTACGGGTAGAATGCCAAGATCTCTGTGGATGCTGTCGTTCCGAACATACCAAGGTGCCCCAGTGATAGTTCTCAGGATTTTTGATTGTGCTCGCTGAATAATGTCGATGTTGCTGCTGCTCGCGTTTCCCCACAATTGGGAGCCGTAGGTCCAGACTGGCTTAAGCGTTGAATTGTAGAGCAGGACCTTTAAGTCCAGGCAGAGGGGGAGCGCGCGTTTAAAAGCCAATGGAGACTGTTTGATTTTAGTTTTAGGTGAATTTTCTTAGCTTCGATATGTCTCCGCCATGTAAGTCTCCTGTCTAGGTGGATGCCAAGGTACGTTACATCGTCAGCTTGTGGAAGTGGCGTGTTATTCAGGGTTAGCGGGGGACACGTTTGTCTGTTAAGAGTAAACGTTATGTGTTTACACTTTTGCGCATTTATTTTTATACGCCAGTCTGATAACCACCTCTCCACTACAACGAGATGATCAGCTAGTAGTGCTGTTGCCTGAGTTGGGCATTTGGACCGACTTATGATCGCGGTATCGTCTGCGAATGTAGAAGTAGTTAGCCGCTCGTTCGTGGGAATATCTGCGGTGTAGAGGAGAAATAGAGTTGGACAAAGGCGCTACCTTGGGGAACTCCAGCCTCTATAGCGTAGTCATCGGATGTTGTGGTGTTGCATCTCACGGCGAAGGCTCTGTTGTAAAGGTACGATTCCAGTATCCTGTGAGTGTTTCCTGGCAGGATCGTTCTGATTTTATGGATAAGGCCATCAAGCCAGACTCGGTCGAAAGCCTGTGCAACGTCAAGGAATACCGCACTGCAGTATTCCCGAAGCTCGAATGCAGTCCTTATTTCTGTTGTTAATCTGTTGACTTGCTCTATTGTTCCATGGCTTTCTCGAAAGCCAAATTGATGTGCTGGAATAACGTTGTGCTCTTTCAGATATGGAATGATGCGCGTCAGAAGGCATTTTTCGAACAGTTTTGACAGACACGAGAGTAAACTTATCGGTCTATACGAAGCTGGTATCGTGTGATCTTTCCCTGGCTTTGGGATCATTATGATTACCGATTTTTTCCATTTTTTTGGGAAATAGCCAAGTCGTGTAATCCCGTTGAAGAGTTTACAAATAACCTCAACTGCACAGTTTGGAAGTTCGATTAACATTTTGGGAGTTATTTGATCACCGCCTGGGGCCTTTTTTGGTTTCAATTGCTCGCTGATTACTTTTGCAATTTCATTTGGTTGAAACAGAATTGGCTCCGTCTCAGATTCAATTCGAATTGACGGCGACGGTAGTGCGAATGAATTAGTTGCAGGGTTTGGCTGAAAAACATTTCGAAGGTGTAAAGCAAATGTACAAGCTCTGTCTTTGTCGCTTCTGGCCCAGCTGCCTGAAGAGTCTCTTATGGGGATTACTGTTTCGGCCGGCGCACTTAGTTTTTGGTGGGCCCTCCACAAGGGATGCTTAGTGCTGGTGGGTGAAAGTTTCTCAATGTACTGGCGTTGTGCTTTTTCTTCTTCTTGCCTTAGAGCCCTGGTAAGTCTGCGACCAGCTTCTTTAAGACTTTGTTTTGAGGATGGCGATCTGCTGGTTTGCCAAGTACGTCTCAAACGTCTTTTCTCCAGAACAAGCTGTTCGATTTCATGGTTAGTTTTGTGTTGGTGTGTGTGCCCATCCCTCCCTTGCGGTGTTGAGACTTTGGCTGCTGCGACGAGTACAGACTCCAGGGCATCGGCGTAGCAGTCGATGTCCTCCTTGATGTTGAGCTGTGGAGTTAGTTCAATGTGGGAACTTACGTACTTTTTGAACTTCAGCCAGTTGGTTCGATGCGACGTCAGCCTGTGAGGGTGCTCGATTAATTCAGGGCTTTGAAGAAGAGTTATTAGCACTGGTGTGTGGTCCGATGATAGATCCAAAAGCGATTTTGCAGATATTAGATTGCGAGAGATGTTTTTTGTCACAGCAAAATCAATTAAATCAGGTAGTTTTCTAGGATCTGTAGGCCAGTATGTAGGGCTGCCTGGTGAAACGTAGTCCACTTTGTTGCATGTTTTAATGAGTGCATTATATAGTTGCCTTCCTTTGGGGGTCACAAGGCGGGATCCCCAGTGCGTGTGCTTGGCGTTGTAATCTCCTGCTGCTATGAATCGCTCTCCAAGCGAATTGTAGAAGTCCATGAATTGGTCTTCGGAGACTGTAAAGCGGGGTGGGCAGTAGACAGCGGCAATGGCAAGGTTGCAGTTGCCCAACTGTAATTTTATCGATGTAGCTTGCAGATGATTTTTAGCAAACCGTTTGTGAAAGTGGTGTTTGACGCGGTCTCTTATTAAGATTCCAGTGCCGCCATGCGCTTTACCATCTGGATGATCTGTGCCATAGAACGTGTATCCCCGTATTTGAAAGTTATATTTGCTGGTGAGATGCGTTTCTGCCAGCAACATAACGTCGATGTGGTTTTCGTTCAGAAATTGAGTTATTTCAGGTTTATGCCGTGAAACACCGTTGGCGTTCCACAGAGTTATTCGAAGGCTAGGCATGATTTATTTGGACTGCTGAGCTGCAAGCATTTGTAGTAAGATATTTTGGTTTTGCATAAGGGCTTGCATGGTGGTTTTCATGAAGGACATAAATTCCATCATATTTTGTTGCAAAGTAATCATCATAGATTCCATGTTACTTTGTGGCTGTCCCATGGCCTGCTGGATGTTATCAACTTTCGGCTCTATGTGAGCTGTGCCTGATCTTAGAGCACTGGCGTAAGAAATTCCGTTGGTGGTAATTGAAGGGCCAAATGATGATCTGGCTGCTTTTGCGAAGAAAACTTCCGGTGTCGTTTGTGATCTCATGTAAGTGTTTTGTGTGTTCAGGGAGCGTGCCGTTGTTGCTCGTTGCATCCGACTTTTCATCGCCTTGTAGACTGGACAGCCTCTGTAGTTAGCTGTGTGGTTTCCTTGGCAGTTTACACACTTTTTAGTGAGAGAGTCTTCCTTGTTGGCAGGGCAGGGTTCGGAGCCGTGGCAGTTTCCACAAGCTACACATACTGACCTGAGGGTGCAGTAAGCCCTGGTATGACCGTATTCCTGGCAGTTTGTGCATTGCACTGGTCCGGTCCGTTTGTGC